CGTTATACCAGCGTGAGGATTATCGTGACCAGCGTCATCAACACCAGCGTCATCAACACTCGTTATACCAGAGCCAGGATTATCGTGACCAGCGTCATCAACACTCATTATACCAAAGCGAGGATTATAGTGACCAGCACCATCAACAGTCGTTATACCAGCGTGAGGATTATCGTGACCAGCGTCATCAACACTCGTTATACCAGAGCCAGGATTATCGTGACCAGCGTCATCAACACTCATTATACCAAAGCGAGGATTATAGTGATCAACACCATCAACACTCGTTATACCAGAGCCAGGATTATCGTGACCAGGGTCATCAACACTCGTTATACCAGAGCGAGGATTACCGTGATCAACACCATCAACACTCGTTATACCAGAGCCAGGATTATCGTGACCAGCGTCATCAACACTCGTTATACCAGAGCGAGGATTACCGTGATCAACACCATCAACACTCGTTATACCAGAGCCAGGATTATCGTGACCAGCGTCATCAACACTCATTATACCAAAGCGAGGATTATAGTGACCAGCACCATCAACAGTCGTTATACCAGCGTGAGGATTATCGTGACCAGCGTCATCAACACTCGTTATACCAGCGGGATGATTATCGTGACCAGCGTCATCAACACTCGTTATACCAGCGTGAGGATTATCGTGACCAGCGTCATCAACACTCGTTAAATCAGCGTGAGAATTATAGTGACCAGCGCCATCAACACTCATTATACCAGAGCCAGGATTATAGTGACCAGCGCCATCAACACTCGTTATACCAGCGTGAGGATTATCGTGACCAGCGTCATCAACACTCGTTATACCAGAGTGAGGATTTTAGAGACCAGCGTCATCAACACTCGTTATACCAGAGCCAGGATTACCGTGACCAGCGTCATCAACACTCGTTACCCCACGTGAGAATTATAGTGACCAGCGCCATCAACACTCGTTATGCCATATCCAGAATTATTGTGACAAGCGTCATCAACGTTAAGGTTATAATTGCCCCACTCGCTTATCCAAATATACATGCCCTTTTATTATGTTTTTGTGGTAGAAAGTTTAATTCATTTTCGCATTTGGAATTGGAATTCTTTTTTCGAACAAGCCTCTTGGACAATTTTTCCCCGCTTAATAAATTTTGATAAAGAGTTATTTTCTCCTGTATCTGATCGATTTCAAAATTAAGATTTTGAATAGATTATTATCTTTATAACAAACATCAAATAGGTGTATTCAACGCCATCAAGAACTCTGTTATCAAAGACTTGCTGTTCTATAATTACAAAACTACCTTGCATTCAAGTGACGTTTTCCACTACAAAACCCGACAAACATACACACAATATCAGTCTCATTGTTCGGCAGGAGGAAATATTCATCCTACTCCCAGAGCTTTAGAAATTTCGAAGACGTTGGAGTCTTTGAAGTGACAGATAATGAATGAACATTCCTGGAGTAGGCCAATGTCTAGAAGCAGTGTATTGATCAGAGAGCTTGTTGAATTACACTCCATCATGTTAACCACTACAACACAGGAGGAAATCACTGGATATGTTAACATAACTATCTCTCCTGGACTTGACATTTCTATAATGGACTTATTATAAGAAATAAAACTGTTACATGATTGGTTCTAATGAGACAAAATCCTACTAAGGACCATATGCGTCTTAGATGAAGTGTCTTTATACAGGAATATTATTGTGACGTTAGGGCAATCGAAGAGAAGAATAGAAAGTCGAAATTATTACCGTTTTCTGTTATAATGCCAAATGTTTCTCATTCGTTTGTTCTCAAATAACTATAAATGGTACTTCGAGGCTAATTACATCCAGAGTACGGACTATAAAATTGAAAATAGATATCAAATATTGTTTATAACTTCAAATTTCACAGGTAATTGAATGTTATAATGTTAAAACTAACATAAGCATCGACAATAAAATGTGTTTCTAAAGGCACATTGATTATAAAGGGAGTAAAATTCTCTCTAGATAATACATATTATGTAAACATATAATCATATCAAGAAAAACGAAGAACACAATAGGATCATTAATATGTTCTACCAAGACAAATTAAAACATGAGAACTCCCTAACGCTGTCATACACTGTCGTGTATGTGGTAACAAATAGGCTCATCTCCATTAGTACCGACTTTATATTTATCATATTGTTGTCTATATATAGGAAGGACAATCATTTATATCCCCTACCTTCCCAGGATGCATTATTCTACAGCGCACTCTGATGAACCTAGAGTAACGTTTCTGTGACGTTTGAACACTTTAGAGCCTTTCTAACGTCGTCAATCATCGGAAGCTTCAAGCCATAAATGTAACGGCGTTGATTAAACGGAGACGGATTTCGATATCGTTTTATCGTCGTCACAGTTCTGTGATATTTATTAAGTAGCGCACGCGTAAATCCATTCTTGTAGTTGAACAAAGGAATAAAAAATCAATTGATGATATATTAGTACCTGGACATAATTATATGAAACAGTTAGCTACGGTTTGTTCCGATAGTAAAACCCTTCGCTCACTTACATCCGAGCAAACGAGTTGCTAAAAATAGATAATTTTTATTTATCTAAGAAAGCTAGATATGCCATTTTATCTAGAGAATATGCAGTGTGATTTAGATTAATGTTTTTGTAGTGTTGTTATTAATAGTTTTGTCTGTGTTGTACATCATTTTCTATTTTGTGTTCATAATCTTGACAAATTCTTTTCCATTTTGTTTTTTTACTACTACCAATCGGATGTCTTGTCGTGTCGACTAAGTAATGTGACGCATTTTTCTGATCTCCAGAGTATTACCACACCATGTCAGGCGATGTCTTAAAACCTAACGTGCGGATTAATCTCTAAATGCGTGATCGGTCGGAAATAAATATTTCAAGTTTAGCCTTCAATAAACTGTCAAGCACATGTCAAGTCAAGTAGATATCCCTTCTCGTTTCACTAGGGAGATCTGAAAAATATCGGGTTATTTTGCATTGTTCTAATTCACATTATTGAAATTTAATTAATGCGTTTTGACAAATCTGTTACTCTTTTTCTGTTTTTACTTAAAACATTTATCATTATGATTGTTTCACGGTGTATAGAAAAAATCTGAAGCAACAGAAACTATCGATATGTTATAAACTGCTATTTCTGATTTGTGATACACAAGTGACAGCTCTCTGTTTCTTGTCAAAAATAAGGAGTCCCTGTGAAGACAAACAGGAGTGACATTGAATCGCGTATTTGGAACGCCATTTGCTGATGTGTAAAGACAGTCGACGCAAGCTGAAGATGGGGACAATAGCCTGGTTAAGTTTGTACAGACGTGTTCGGAACGTATAGCTTTTAGCGTGATTGACAAGAGAAATGGGTGTCTGTTTAGTGTATCCCAAGTTTTAACGATACCGACAACTTGTCTTTCTACAACACATCAATGTGATGTAACCTAGATGTCGCACACCTCCACGCCATGCACTTGCTAACATTTCAGATGAATAATGTACACGCCCGACTTTCACTATGTACCTAGGTTCGATTTGCCACGTTGCACACATCATAATAAAATTTTCATAGAAAACATCTGTATTGATTAGATGTTTTCCATTCTTCTTTACACAAACTTATCATGAATATCAAGTTAACCATGTGATAAATACGTATTATTCCATTATTTGTTGTACCCACGAGCAAATATGTCAAAAACTATATATATAGTATAGTGTCCAACACCCACGTGATGTCGAGATGCTTTTGGTTTTATCGTCGACAGGATTACCATTTATCATTCACAATTCCGATCACTTTGCCGTTAGGTAAACTTTCACGTGTACTAAGACAAACGAATGGGTAGATATTTTGTGTGATAAATAAGGCAAAATCTGATCGCTATTTCTATCGTCGTCAAGTGTTATATGGAGACATCTGATCTTAATAAAGACGTGATGGTGAATGTTAGATTCGGTAATGACGGATAGGCATACTATCTTCCAACCGTCCTTGTAACTATGTACCATGCTCTAGGGACCCTAGCTCCATCACCTCATAACTTAATATCATCACGCCTCTGTTGTTGTTTTACCAAGAGGATGGGTCATGCATGATCTCGGTACCTCTAGAAACAGTTCAATATTTTATCAAACTACCACATGAATTTCTATTGTAAAGACATTGTGACTACATACATGGTTGGTTCCTGTCTTTAACATACGTTATTTCAAAATAGACTCGCAGTCGTGACGTGGGCGGTCTCGTAAAATCTCCACCAATCAGATTACGCTGTGACGGTTAAGAATGTAACCAAGCCCTACAGAGATGACAAGATCGCAGATGGTTTCTACAGATTACAGTCAACTGTAAAATTAATTGGGTAACACATGCAATCGGCCGGAAACCGATCCTATAGAAAGATGTTTTATTTTACCAACTTTTCCGATAGGGCATGATGCGCACGGAACTAAAATGACTTTACAATTAATATTCATATCCAAATTTCGTCCTGATGACTTTCACATCATCAAATGAAGCAATTTATTCTCTGACCTAATCACCATTTATATCAAACCGATGTGTAACAACCACAGTCAGAACTCTCTCTCTCTCTCTCTCTCTCTCTCTCTCTCTCTCTCTCTCTCTCTCTCTCTCTCTCTCTCTCTCTCTCTCTCTCTCTCTCTCTCTCTCTCCATAACAAGTTCTAAATAATATCTTATACTGTTCTTTATAATGAAGATTTCGAATCCCCACACTGTCAGTGTTTTCGTGTATAGGAAAATAATCGTAAACATATTTTTAATTACATATATGGAATTACCTGATTTCCTATATTAAACAGGAAAAGACGGAATCGCCCTTGTCCTAAATACTGTTTATTTTTTTTATTTGGAGATATTGTGTGAAAAATCTATATCCTCATGTAAGTTTTCCTTTGTTTGTTTCAGATTCACCATACAAGTGCAACTGTCAGCGCCATCGACAGCATGCGTTTGTGGGTACTAGTTTCCCTTGTCGGGCTGGCATTGACAGCTCCTTTGCTTGAAGAAAATGAAGCGGAAAAGAAAATAGGTACGATAAGGGTTTTATTGTTTAATCTTGCAAACTATTTTTATTATTATAAATCATAGGAATGTTTAATTAATGAAAGTTTAGATGGATGACGTCTGCAAATTTGTTCTAATTTTTCAACTTGAACTAATCATTTCTTTAAAGCATTATAATATTTTTAACTAATCATAAGTCAAGTAAACAGTTAATTAATTCCGAATCGTGGAAATAAAACACTAAAGCATTATAATATTTCTTAAACATTTAGTAAATCGTATCGATTGTTATCTGATGGAATGAAAAGAAGGATTGATCTTAACTACATGCACTTCACTACAAAGCTGAGGCAAGCGGGTAGACGTGGTACTGTTAAACAAATACCATAAATACTTAACATTACCTGATATAAGAAAATTACAAATTTTACTGAAAGATGGGACAAGTGCAAAATTTAAGCTCTTAACATCACTTACGAGTGGTAGAAGGAAAAACAGCGGTATGATGCAGTTTCACTCATTGTTTAGCTTGACTGCATCTATCTAAATTTGCATGAAAAGGTGTTAATTATTTGTATGTCTTCTGTACAGTCTACTATATTCCTATATCTCATTAGATATTTAAGTTGAGTCTGATGTAAACACTGGTGAGAGTTTGAATTATGTGGCAGAATTAAGCTTTCTGTATGAACATGTAAGACGCTCATAATTAATCTTTAAAAAATCAAGATGACAAAGAGTGCAATTTGAATGTCAATTACATTTATTTTAATGTAAGATTAAAATTTACTAATAAAAAAGAAAATTTTAATTATTTTCATGACGTTGTTAGAAATGAAGCCAATTTTAAAAGGTAAACAAAATTTAACAATGCTTATTAGCAGTTTCGGACACAATGGCCGTTCAAGAAGTGATGTCAAAATGTCACGACGCCATATCGAAATTTACGCCGGTGTTGCAAGTGTAAGGGTTACATGGGATTTACCAGGGTTTAACATTTCTGCTGTAGATATTTGTATCCAAGATCTGATTGATAAAAGGGCATGCTTAAATATGAACTCATCACAAGTTAGATGACTAGATAAGGTGATTTGATATGACTATATATTTAAAAGCATTACTAAGTAGTCGATAAGTATGTGTAGACATCTGATAGTCATCATCATGCTGAACATTTGTTTAGTAAAGATGTTCATCATATGTTTTGCTTCAGTGAAAAGATCTGACGAGGAAATTGGCATGGGAAACCAACAAAATCTTTCTAGAAATAAAAAAAGTGACAGTGAACCATCTTTGCTGGATGATAAAGCTGGATCTGTCCTTGCGGACTCTCCACAAGAGGTAATCCCAGAAGCCCATGATGAAAGTGAAGTTGAAGCGCAGGTACCAGTTTCCGACAATAACGTTGCTTCTGAGTCGAAAGTGGAAGAGGAATTGAATGCCATTATAAAAGAGGGCCAAATGGCACAACAATTGGCAGAAGACGAGTCAGAAGAAACGCATCCAGGTGTTGAAGAAACACAAGAAATGCCTAATGTGGAAAACTCTGATTCCACAGAACAGAGTGATAGTGATGCTGAAACTGAGGAAAACAAAGACGAAGTTGTTGTACCGAATGAAGAAGTGCCGGAAATTGCAGAAGTTGAGGAACCACAGCAAGAGGTGGTTGATTTGAATAATGTTATATCTCCAGAAAATAACGAGGCGATAAAGGAACTTATCCAAGAAAACATGGTCAGCTCGCAACCAGAAGACAATGACACCCCAGAGCAGTTTGCCGACCTTGCAGACACACCTCTTGAGGATGCTACACAGGACGATGGAGGCCAACACGAACTGGGAATGCTCGGTATGAATAATTTTGAAAGAAAAACCAATATTTTAAGCAATATGTTAAACGATTGTGATATATTTCATGAATTCGGTATAATTCTATTGTTTGTGATATTTATTTTTGTAGTATGTGAAACAGGGATATTTGATCTATGAGCATTGGATGGAATTACATGATTTTAGATCTATATTTAGATATATAATGCCTGCACATACTTGCTTTATTATTTCAGAGAACCCTCTCGAAGCTTACCGCATGTTTAGGAACTACCAAAATTTCCTGGCCACTTATCCTGATTATTACGCAGACTCCTACAGAGGCTTTCCGAACGGACGCAGAAGAAGGGCATCGAATCCATTATTGTCGCGCCTTCGGAACCGTGAAATGAAAAGAAATCATCGGAACAAGCGTGAATTATCATACGGCGACAGCAGCCTCTTTCCATACTTCTACCCAGAACGGGAACAAGAACAAGAAGACGATCTGTACAGAGTGGTACCGGATCAGGAAATACTTGACGACGAACCGTACACAATGTTTCCGGAAGAGGCATTGGAGGAAGAACTAGCAGCAGAAGAGGGGTTGCCTTACACAGATGAAGACGAAGGAGAATATGGAACACCTATATTGTATGATGGCAAAGTGGGATATTTCATGCCATCTAAGCGCCAAGACATGCTTAGTTTTGTCCCTGGCAATAAGAGGGACTCTTACTTTTTTCCCTTCTCCAAAGAACCAGACACACACTACAGGGCATTTGTGCCGGAGAAAAGGAGCTACCTGGAAAGCTACGGAGACCTAGTACGATTGGCAAGAGCCTTGGCCATGGAGCCACAGGAAAGAGAACAATATCTACAGGTAATTATCAAGAATAAGAAATACAAACTTGGGTGGAATTTATTACAGAATAGGATAGCACAATGAATCAAATATATATATTAAAACAAAAGCATATAAACAGTAAGCTGAGCACACGCAGAAACATCTATGTTATTATGATCACAATAAGACGAAATATAAACCCCCTTTTATTACATTATGAACACAAAAATATGATAGACGTACATATATATTTGTTTGATAGAAAATTCTGCTTATATCCAAGTGACATTTTCCACCACTTTCTATTGTAATTAATAGATAGTTGTCTAGCAACGTCATATTGCATCATGTATAGACAAAATAATCAATACAGTATGTAGGTATCGGATATGCTTAATCTTATATGTTCCAATATACAATGCTTAGTTGGATAGGGCGAAAAGAAATGCATAATGAAGTTTTATGAACAGAAAAGAGACGATTCAGCTTTCACTAACAATGTTTGGAAAAAGTTTAAGCTTACATACAACACATACCGAAGACAAAACATAGACAGTAGCTAATATAATATATTGCAAATGTGTGTAACACATTTACTGGCATACTTTGCGATGATACGATGTTTGCCGAGCAGCGGACACTCCACCTCTGTAATTCGTTGATTCACGTCAAAATATGGAAATTAGTGCATGACACTATATCGCTTTTCGCCGAACGTTAGATTTCAAAACAGCAAAAGAGTGCGAAAATAATAATAATAACATAGAGTTGCACAGATACAAGGACGGAAACATACACATCCACCGTAGTATATCATATACTATTAGAACTCATCTCTGACCCAACCTAAAGTCACACATATAATTGTTACTTGTGCCAAAAACACTTCAAATGAAATATTTAAATAACATATAAACACCACAAAAGTCTTATTTATCTGAAGCACAATCAACCTTGTGATAAGTATTAGCAAAGAAAAAAGGCTCATGTCACAATCTCTTTCTCCTTCAAAAATATCTTCACTCTACCATGTTACCTTTCTCTACCACACCAGCACACTTTTTTTGTAAGGGAAAAAAAAAAGAAAAAAGAAAACATGTAAATTATATCGAGAGGAAGGTTATGTAAAAAGAATGAGGGTCTTTTCTCAGTTTCTGATAAATATAGCTGAAAGGCTAAAATATAAAAAAATTACAAAATTAATCCATTAATAAATTCTATATAATCAAAGGTTCACAATGCCTTTACATTCATTTTGCTGGTGAAAGCAATATCATCTGATCTTCAAAGGGAATTTCCGAAGCCAGGATTAACCAATGTTTTTTTCGGACTGGCTGTTCTTCTCCCTTAAACCATTTTGAAAGCCAATCCCTAACACAAGCCGTCCAGGAATACCTCTCTAACCAAGAAACATGGAAAGGGCAGTTCAATGCTGCCAATAAACCCGAACAGAGTGATACAAATACGGTTCTACGTAAATGTTCCGGATGGCAGTTGCATGACTGTAGGCGTTTAATGGGTCCTCACAGGCATCATGGCTTCCTTTATTTGAGAACGAGGTAGCAGATCCATGGTGCCTAATAGTAAAGGATAATGTTCAGAACATTGAAATATATTACAGTGTCTTCTAAATCCATTGCAGTAACGACTTTAATCAAAACGCATTATTATCCTTATATGTTTTTTTCTTATTTAGCAGAATGTGTATATAAGAAAGTTGATTTAAACCTACGCTGAAATGAGACACCAAATCAATCATAGAAGACACCAACTCCCTATGTAGGGGTATATATGTATTGTTGTTACATACTGGGCGACATAATAAAACCTAGTCCCCTAACAGTTCTATTAACGTAGATGAAAAAAGAGGTTTGTTTGTATTTTATTTTAAATCAATAGAATTTTAGGTATAGTGCATCTACCCATCTGGTTTTTGCCGTTCATTCCGACCAAATTGGGTTTCCTCAGTCGCCTTCTAGATTTAAAGTCTTTAGCATCACCAACGAGTCCTAAAAGAACGATACAGTTATGCAGTCTTGTTCATTGTTTGACTCTATTGTGCCTAATTATAACCTTGTTTAAAAAATAAAATTCATTTTGTGTGTTTTGTACGATGTTTGTACACTGAAGGCTACAAGGTGTCGTTTAAATTAACGGTACAATTTGTTCCCTGGTCTTCCTTAATTATTAATACTGAGTCAACTTTTTATATTTTAATATTCAAATTTTGTCTTTTCTTGTTAGTTTTAAATGTAATTTCATGATTTTGTTTCTTCGTGGATATTGAATATATTGCCAGTAAAACCAATTAATGTATGTAAACAGAAAGCAATAATTCTATTTGCCTTGTGTAAATAAGAGGTAATGCAACGCACGCTGTATCATTATGAACTATCAGCGGCGACCACGCGGCTCCTACATGCGTACATAGTATAAATCAACCTTGATCTGAGTATAACTAGCTGTCTGATCGGAAACGGAAGTGCTTACATCTTCCGTGCATTGGGACTATTTACCGTAACGATGATGGTCACGTAGCAAAAACTGGAGAGTTTTCGTGTGAAGAAGACAACGAGAGACCATTCAATATGTCAAGGACCGTTAGCTAGCAGACACGACCATCAGTAAGGAAATTGTAATAAAACTGTATAAAATCATGTAGGGCATACCGAACAATCCGGGATACTGCCATGTTTCTTTTTTCCCCGTCAATCTCAATTAACTAGCTTGGCTTTGTTGTTGGCGCTGGTAGCCTTTATTTATTATCTGGCCAGTGAATATTTGTACACTGTTTTCATATCAACTCTTACGTGGTTATTAATTTTCTGAGATGCGTTGATAACACCACTTTTTAATACAATGTTTTCAAAGGCTGTTTGTACGACGATATCGATCCACAGGGAGTAAAACGTTACGTTATGTTTTAATAGGAAAAATGACTTGTTCTTCAGCAAGGCAAGGTTTTTTTTGTTAGCTTATACGAGGATCATGTTAAATGCCATGCTGTAAATTATCTACACATCAGAAAACAATTTTATAATTTGGAAATAAAACATAACTTACAAAGGTTCTACTGCATTAACTGTCGGCCGGGTAATACATTATCATTGCTAAACAAAGAGGCGAAGGTTTGAAAAGCATTCTAGCTTTGCTAAATCAGCAGAGGGTAGATATAGGGGACAGTCAGTGTTTTCATTATGTTTATATTTGTGTTCTTTGTGTGGCAAGTAAAAATGATGAGATAAAGGATTACTCCTTATGTACACTTGAAATACCTTAGTCAATACATCTGAGCACATTTTGTTCGTATTAATCTATGTTTTTAATTATAATATATATATACACTTATAAACGATTAATATTCGTCTATAAAATAAACTTCTGTCATTCTGGTTCGCAAGCTATAAAGGATTTCTCCTTTATAGAATTATTTCCTTGACTGCAGATCTATGTTTGACGATTTCATTTGACCGTGTACATGACTGGACCAAAGAGGATCAATAAGAATTTGCGATGTAGAGAAACATATAATAGTTCATGTAACATTTGCAATTCCCATGTAGTGGCATTAAGATTGAGAAATATGTTTACTATGAATTGGTCGGTATTCTTTTGACAGCCAGTTAAAGTAGGCTAATTTGTGGATACGCAGTTACAATTTTGGCCAACGATAACATTACGCTCAATGTTCATTAGGTTACACTCAAAGTTACGTGTCCACATATGTTATTGACATTCGCCAGGATTCCTGTCAGATATCGGTCAACATATATGTCTCCATGGAGGACTCGGTGACATTATCCTTTACCGATTCCCAGACTTTCCAGACTCAACACTGTCATGTTCTACCGTAATAAATGCATCATTAAAATTCTAAGTGAGCTTTATAAAATAGAAGGCGGAAGGATGAGATGTTTCTTGTGCTTTGAATTGTTTAAGATATACTGATTTCTGGGGATGAAGTATTTATGGAATGTTAGATAAAACGATTTCATGGTCATTTGTCTTGCAGGAACATATCGATTAAATGGTCTTTGACAAACATCGTTGAGATCACTGATAAGAAATTCGTGTTATAATCAGTTCTCTTTTTTTCCCCAGGGTTATGAATGGGAGTAAGATCAATGTTGTGCTCACGTGATCATACACACGATCTTTGGAGCCTGGAGATGCCGAACCTACAGGATGAATCGGCTTTGGAAGAAAAAAAAAGAATTTCGCTTCAGACTTTGTCAAATATCTTCATTTTTGTCCCCTTTTCTAAGTTCAAAACATTCCGCTTCTTGGTTTTGTGACATGTTCATGAAGTTGTTTTGTTGACGCCCCACCTATAAAGTTCAATGTCATTTAATATAGAATTAATCCGGGAATCCTTTGTAAATAATAATTTATTGTAAATCATGAAAATGGAAATCAATATATATATATATATATATAATACATATATTTTTGTGAAAAAATCCTTATTATGTGCATGGACACCTTGTTGAAATTTAATAAATGTCTGTCTTTTCTATAACTTATTTCTCTTTGTGACACTTCAGGAACAAATATACATTGTACTGTGAAAGTTGACATTCAAAATATTTATATAAATAAGCAAAGGTATTTGTATTTGAGTTTATCAGACCTCGTGTACTTGTTACTTTCAGGTCTGTAATGTCTGAACTCTGTTTAAAATCAGCCCTTATGTTACGGTATGTCTTGGCACATTATCTTAATTTTATAAGTTGTTTAGCACCATTAAAAGACGCTATGGAGAACCAGTTTGATTGTATATATTGAACATCTAAGTACAGCAAGACGAGATTAACACCATCAGCAAACAGAGACATTATTTGAACTCCTTGTTAATACGACAATACAATCCACGGGTAGGAGGATACATGAAAGCCCACAAGTCCAACGAAATCTGTCTCCGCTGGCATCCTCGGCTTTGTTTTGTTTTGATTACATTAAAACATTTTAAAAATGATCAGAGATTGTTGACACTCTTTATAGAATTTAACTTTGATACATCAAGGGAATGTTTCGGTTGTAGGCTTTTTCTGCTTTAAACGGATAACGCCATGTTACTTCAGTGTCGGCTACTCAGGAGAGTCATATATTGTATGTATACTTATCATCAATCTTAGTAAAACAAAATAACTTTAATTTGCATAGTGATCATCGGACTGTGCCATTTCTTCAACTAACTGTTAGCTACATATAATAATGAAACACGGTAGTTTGCTGAATTTATCGACCCGTCCCCGAGGTACCTAGTGGCGACCTCACTGAACAACATACTGGAAGGCCGTCATATGCCATCCAGAGCAATTAGGATAAGGTGACACACGATAGCAGAAATTAACCGAAATTTTGTCTACAGTGATGAAAAAGCCATGGCTGAATACGTCTACGTGAATTGACAGTCTAACACTTTCTATTGTGAAGTTAATATATACAGTGACGGTACCGTTTCGCACATAGGAAAACTGTTACAATGAACATTTCGCTTTGTGGTGAAGAATGGCGTATTCATAGAAAACGCCAATAGTTATTACAATAAACGTATATGATATCTGTGTTAAAAGTAAGAAAATACCAAGAAGTCAACATAATCGTAATCTAAACTCAAATTAGGGCAAAAGATAAACAATAGAATTTTTATACTGAGACTCCTGAAAAACTTAAATGCGAATTCGACTAGATTTTCTGCTTTACTGCTTCATCTTAATCTAAATCATGTAAATCTTGGTCCAACCAAGTAAGTAATGGCTCGTTCTCAGATGAGAACAAAGTATACAACACTGGAACCAACAGGCAAATTAACGACCATCGAACACGTCTAGTCTTCGTATTGTACAAAGAAATAGAACATGTCTCAATGAGATCAAAATGACAACCGTAAAAAACTTCCCAATATATTTTATCGACCTGCATCTCTCGAAACATTGTGTTACGAGTTTATCTGTCTGTTGACGACATTTGATATTGGGAGCAGGCCCTGGAATATCAAACTACTGCAAACTTTAAACCCACAGGTTGGTGATGCAGGGATGTTTCTTTCCGATGTGGAAAATTCCTGAAAGTCTGATGTAGCAAAGTCTGTTGTGTCCTTGATTTCGAGTTCTGGTAGGTATATACGACAGACGTGGTCAAATTATCTCTTGTTATTTAGTCATCAAGCAAATCACTGGAAGTAAAATTGAAAGACATTTCAAGGTCCTGGTGATCTGTTTTGTTAAGGTCTTCGATGAATTTAAATCAACAAGTCAAGCCTTGTTAACAGTTCTCATAGATATGCCAAACATCTATTGGAAGGTCTTACCAACAAAGTGGACGAATATGTTGTTACAGAACCTCAATTAATTTTATGGTTTTGTCCTTCGTTTATCTCTTCCCTTGACTTAGACGAATTTTTCATGAAATACGCTTCAGAATAGCTTATAACCATATATTTGTACCGCCAACAGAATAAATATTCTTATAACACATCCAGTAGATGATTTAAGTGTGACGTTTCGATGACTACTGTGTCACCTTCATGAGACAAATGACCTGTTTGAAGCGTATTAGCACTGTAATGTACAAGATGGTAAGGAATTGACAGCTGTAGTATGATTCTGTTAAGTAAACAGTGTGAAAAGATGGAAAAAGAGATTGTAAGACAAATGACAAGATAATTATGATGTACTGTTGTCGATTCAGCTCCGCTTAGTTTTGCATGGAGGACATATAATAACGCATCCGTCAAAGATAAAATTATTGGAAGACGTATCTGCTGGCACAATAACATACCTGTCATGTAAATGGATTTGAAGTGCGGATTTAACAACAAGATCGAGGAACGCTGACATGTGTTTTGAGAATACTGGACCGAATCGATGTAACCAACTCTGAAAGTGAAACAAACGAAACAGGATCTCGTTTCATCCATTTTCTGGCGTAAATTTCAATGGAAGAAGAAATATAATACTTTTCACATTCCAAGTAACGGATTAGATTTCATAAGATTTAGGGCCCTTCATGAAAAACTCTCGTAGGTTGGATGATACTTAATTCGCAAACTACTATGTGCCCTGTTGAACCATAGTTATTAGAACAGGTAGAACAAAAACAAGCTTGTGGAAGGTTGGGGCCTTCATCCAGATTGTGTTGTCATTATATATTCCAGAGCAATGGCTTTGCCGTGTTTTACCGCCAAGTCGTGCGAGGGTGCCATTGCTTGTACTCCAAGTTACACCATGGCTTCATGTATTGATTAAAATGACATTTATTAACGGTTCCTCACCATTTCAACGGCTTGGAATACTTTATTTGTATAACTATCATATGCTGAGAATTGATGGGATTTGTCTTTAATATGTTGATTTCATTTGCTAACGGTGGCAAAATATATTTTCCTTCAAATAACTGGCCAAATTATACCTTTGATACCGTGTTGCTCTATTCAATGTCTTTTAAATTAATTAATTTAATCCTCGGTTGTTGTACAGAGTGTGCCCAGGAGATGTAGTGCTTCCATACTATATCTCAACAATTAATGAACATAATTTACAGTGTATTTTTTGTAGGTACGGACATAACATTATTATGTATCCTCGACCAAAAACCAAACATCTGCCAACAACAACATCTAAAGACACTGAGAATATATTGTGGAAGTTTGTTTTCAAGATACTGAGAACGTGTTGTAGAGGTTTATTTTCGAGACACTGAGAATATATTGTGGAAGTTTATTTCGAGATACTGAGAACATATTGTACATTTTTTTCGAGACACGAGAATATATTGTAGAGGTTTATGTTCGAGACACTGAGAACATATTGTACGGTTTTATTTTCGAAAATAGGTTTAAAGAACTCGCGCAACTAAATAATTCATTATTTGTTATTACTTAGCGTATAATACTAATATAAAAAGTTCAATACAAGCAATAACTATTTAGATTCAAATAAACATACCAGACAAAAGCTACTTATAACGTAATCTAATTGTGTGTACCACCTTTCGGACTGACATTGTCTTCATTTGTCAACATTAGGACGTAAGCTAGTGAAACAGAGTAAGCACCTAAGGAAAACCCCACATTTTACATCTAAATCCGCTCACAGATGTGGACATGTGTTAACACTATCCATTTTCATGTGGCCAAAAAGCTGCAGATTTCTTTCCTGTGTAATCAGTTGAAATGAATTTAGTGGGGAAATAAAATGCTATAGTAAGATGCACCGTCTAACATAAATCAGACTCTATAACTTAATGTTGTATTTTATGAAAGTCGAGGTTTTGTATTGAACAGTCAAGAATCGAGGAGCTATGGCGAATATCATACCCTAAAGGTATAGACCGTAATAATACATCTCTCAGGCTATTTGTATTCCACATATCCTGCACACTATACTACTACACAGTCACACTTTAAGGTAAGCAACTGGTTTTAGGATCAGATCAAATGATTTCACGAAAAACTGACGACAAAAAACCTGTATTGCTAGAACTTTTTCCAATGGGCAGTCACTGATAAACATAAAACATGTAAACATTTAACATAAACTGATACAAAGAAATAACACTAAACTAGACAACAGGAACGAGAAACCCATGTTTTTGGTCATAAGAACACATATTGCGGAGTTTATTTTTCAGTAAGAATTCCCCGGTATCAAGGACAGATAGAATGGGCAAATTGTTAACGAGCCATCGTTAGGCCGAATCCAACATGATCCTTTTTTATTCGCAAAGGGAATTAAGAGGTAAATTAAAATCGAAGAAGCTAATCTTGGCCAAGGCTAGTACTCGTTATGGCCGTCTATTGATTCAACAAGACTACAATTCTAGATTAGGTTTGCTTGTCTGATGTATAAAACAGAGGATTTCCGAACAACAGGTTAGAATTGTTCTGATTGCAGCGTCAACAAATAATGGTGATATGATATCAAGTCGACATGAGAACACACAAACAGAAACCTGGATACAACACTCAACAAGACACCAACAGGAACAAGTACTCAAAAAGAAAACTACAAACAGGAATATACTATACTCGGAAAGATATCTACAAAAAAGGATGAACTAAACTACATATAACAGGAACAAACAAGCACAGCACTAAAAAAAAAAAAAAATACCTCACTTTACAAGAACAAATACAGCACTAAAAAGACATCAACG